TGCATATAGGAGTCATCCAACACTTAAATTGTTGATCTTTAGCAATCTCATATAAGCATCTATTTTTTTCCAGCTAGGAAACATTTTTGCAGATAGCATTCTACTCACTAGAATAGGATGTAGTAGTACCCAAAATAAGACATATTGTGGTAGTCATATTGAATTTTTTTTTAACACAACTTGCTTCAGGTTGAAGTTGGTTCTTTCATGTTTTGGAATATATTTTGTATTTATCAGTCATGAGACTGAGAGCTTAAGGAGATAAAAAAAAATTGCTTCCCTTTTGTCGACTGCTTCTCATTACCAGGTTTATGTGAGTTGCTGTGTGTCTTTGTGAGAATGCTGGGTTCTTAAATTTCCTCTACAGACTACAAAACTTTTCATCTCCTATGTCCAGTATCCAGTTCATGAATTTCACTATAGCTAATATTATATATATTCATTAGATATAATTTTGTATAGATTTGGTTTCCAAAGAAATTCTCAATTCTCTTCTCTTTAAAATGGGTCTAATAAGATGCTACCTGTCTGAAAAGGTCGTTACTGTCAACATGTTTTGTAATGGGAATTATTTGGGGAGCCCATGATCAATTTGAGGAGTTCCCTTCTTCCTATCACCAATCCACTTGATGAGATTATAGGACATGGGCCATTGTGGGGAGGCCATCTTTCACAATGATACACACATACTATAGCCCATTTCCGTGAGGACACAGTGAATTCTAATCCATTCATTGCCTCTCTTTTGTAAAACCATGGTTGAAGATGTTGTTCAACATGTCAAATTTCCGCTTGCTCTTTGTTCTAGGAACAGTTTTATTTCTGAAGATGATTTGGATGTTGCTTTTTGTCAGAAAATGACAACAATGCCTCTGTGTGTATTTTCACTTTTGTCAGAAAGATCATTTAGAAAATCAATGACAGGCATTCTCTGACTCACGAACATCCAACTTTTCAATGGCTGTCCACATAAGTGGCCAGCATGGGGAATGAAGGAAGCTCTCTTTATGCCAGAGGAGTGAGGAAAATTCCTTAATTGGCTTCATTCTCTTCTTTGGCAACCAGAACCTCAGTGGACTAGAAGGGAGCAATGGAAATATTATTTTTTCTTTTAAATAGGATAGCAAGTACACACTTCAACTATGACAGGTGAGGGTCTCTGAGGAGACAATTCTCATTCAACAATAAATATTTTGGCAGCCTTTAGGGCTTAGTGTTTCTGACATGTTAGATTTCTCTATAGAATACAGTGTTCCAAAAGTCTTAGTACAGTTCAATGAAGCTTTAATCGTTTAAAACTGCACTAAGACTTTTGGAACACCCTGATTATTTTCTCATAGGAACACTACATGGTGGTTAGATTATCAGGTGTGTGCACAAAAGACTAAACAATTTCGGTGTAGGTGAAGTTGTACCATCTTGTATTTCAATCACATAAATTCCTTGAAGGCAAAAGAAAAGCATATCCTCCCTAGTACCTAGTACCCTGAATTTCACATAGTAGGTGGGTGCTTAATTTTTTTTTTTGTTGAATCATAGGTTAAAGAATGTTTTGAGAGCTAAGCTGAAAATTTAACCACCATTTGTAAGTGTTTTCGATTCCAAAGCACCAATTTACTAATGGAGTCTGGAACCCAACCCAGTTGTAAGTTGGAGACTGACTATAATTAGAGTCTAGCTAAAACTAATAATGATAATAGCTGGCATTTATATAGCTCTTCAAAGTTTGCAAAATGCTTTACTAATATTATCTCATTTGATCCTCACAAAAACCCCGGAGAGTAGGTGTTATTATTATTATCCCCATTTTACAGATAAGGAAATTGAGGTAGACAGAATTTGAGTGACTTGGCCAGAGTAACACAGTGGGTAAATAAATATCTGAGGCTAGATTTGGACTCAGGTCTTCAAGACTCCAGGTCCAATGCTCTACCTAGTGAACCATCTAGCTGCATATTAATTTGATCGTTTTATGAAACTAGTCTATCTTTAAACATATATGTGTATGAAAGAGTCAAAGTAAATAAAAGAAATGAAAATATTTTCAAATTTTCTTCAGCACTTTGAATTGTTGGTATCTGAAATAAAAACACAGGGCCGAACTTTCATTCAGAGAGGATAGCCCTCCCAGTACAGAAGAACTATAAACAAAGTTCTGGTTTATGGATGGGTTGATTCTTCATTCCTCCCGGGATATTAGCCACTGTTACGTCTTTAACGTTAACACAGCGCAGCCTAAGATGGCAAACTGTCAGATGAGCCACTGAGGAAGTGGAGGAATGGCTGATAGCTACTGATGAAAGAAAGAAAGGCAGGCACTGAATTCTTAGGCTTATCATAGGTCAAGCTGGTCTTCATAGATGCCTTTTCATGACGAGGGTGATAACTAGGGATGCCCTCTTTTCTTTTCCTTCTTGCTTGTTCTTGACAAGTGGTCCAGAAGGTGCAATATGTCCACATTTAGCATCATTTAGGACAAAGGTCCTGGTTACAGGAAGGCCTCAGGTGCCGTTACCTACAAGGAACAGTAGGAATTGGCTTTCTGTCCTGCTAACAGGACAAGTTGAACCTACATAAGGGATGTGCAGGGGCAGGTGGCCTGAACCCCATGCCATCTCACATGCTGCTGACACTTATGTTTTGAGCTGCTTTGCACAAACACAAACCAAATGATAAAACCCGCATCGAGTTAGGCTATCTGGTGTTTTCCTTCCGTCCTCCTTGTAATCAAGCATGATTGAAAAACCACTAGGTAGCAGGTGGCTACACAGTACCCACAGCTGTGCATGCTGCGGACTTCTTTCCCAAAGTAAACATCAATAAAATTTTGCTGAAAATTGTTTTTAAAAAAGTCTCTTATCTGTTCCTCTAAGTTGTGATCATATTAATTTCATTTGTGTACTCCATTTGCGCTGCAAATATTCTAGGAGAAGAGTCAAGGAAGCAATTGCTTTTTTTTCCCCCTTATAGTAAACACAGGACTGTTTCACCTCTTCTAACCAAACATTATACTTTGGCTTGATAAAGGAAAAGTGTGCAAACTCAGAGATGAAAATAACAAATGACCTATCTTACTAGTGCTAAACCAGGGAAGGTCTAACTTTAATCAGGGAGCAAACTCTCTTAGATATTTAATGTGTCTCTCTTTCCTTTCCCCTTTTATCTGAGAGTATATATTTGGAGAAAATTATAGTGAAAGATAGTTGGGAAGGATCTCTTTGCTTAGTACTATGATGAACAGTAGGATGAAATGGAGGCAGGGTCTATGTATGGCATAGTAAAATATGATTAGGGTTAACGCATATTGTGGTCCAAAAAGAAATGGAAGGGATAGTGTGATTATCTCACCCCAGCAATCTCTACCTAAACTCACTGAGATGAGAGTGGCAAATGCAATGCTAATAATATGATTGTCTCTCATATCTAAGTAGTACATTTATTTTTCAAAATAATTACTTTTTTATTACCTCCCTTAATCCTTCCATATGAATTAGGTCACTTACTATAAAGTAGGTGTAGGGGCAGGATAGAGTATGGGCCTTGGAGTCAGGAGGATCTGAGTTCAAATCCTGCCTCAGATACTTACTAGCTGTGTGACCCTATGCAAGTCACTTAACCCTGCTTGCCTCAATTTCCTCGTCTGTAAAATGAGCTGAAGAATGAATGGCAAACCACTCCAATATTTTTGCCAAGAAAACCCCAAGTGGAATCATGAAGGTCAGACATGAGTGAAAGACTGAATGACAACAATAAAGTAGGTTACACAAGTATTGTTGTTTGATGCAAAGTGAAGTAAACAGAATCAGAAGAATAATTTGCATTGTTTTCCCAGCAATGTAAAAGAAAACAGTGAAACAACATTGAAAGCCTTCAGAGCTCTGATTAGTGCAGTATCCAATTCTGACTTTGATTTTCTGGGCAGTATGATATCAGAATCTATCTTTCTAGCCAAATAAAGGAGATTTCTTAGGCAGCACCAGACTTGAAGGAAGCCCTGGGGCAATCTCAATTATAAGTCTCCCTGAGCAGTATGCCTCTTGGAGAGAGAGGATTGCTAATGTGATTGGTCCTCTGTAGCTGTAGGATTAATAAAGGATTAAAGCCACAACATGGATTGCAAGGAATTCTCTATTCTCTTCACTACTACTGTGAGTTATTTTGACAATGCAAGTCTCAGATGCTATGGGGTCTGCTTAGTCAGCTTCCCCAAAGTGTATTTGCCTACCAGAAGGTATTCAAACCAGACAGTGGCACTGCCCTATGGAGAGAAGGATTTCATTGGAATGTCAATGATGTTTCCCTAATTGTAACTGCAAGTTCAATTCTCTTCAGAGAGTTTATGGTTTTTCTGAGTGCTTTATATATTTCCTATAGCTGTTTATGGATGCTTAAGAGTCATTTGCATTTACTATGGGGTAAAATAATGATGATAATGGTGATGATGATGATGATAATGCATCATTATTTGTACTTTATTGGTGAAGAAGCAGAGTTCTGGGTCATGGCACTGTCCTTTATTTATGGCTTTGGGTTTTGCACAGGCTGCTATTAACTCCTATGACCTACCTGCTCTCATCAGGCTCTCCAAGACAAATGCTGAATTCACTAAGTTCTGCTATTTTTTGATCTGCCAAGCCTAAAATCCTATGGTCATAGAACCATAGGATTTAGGTCTCAGTGGGATTTCAGCGTTCATCTTCTACCTCTTTATTTTACATATGAGAAAGCTAAACCTCAAGAGGTAAAGTGACTTAGCAAAAGTTATACAGCTATTTACTTGTAGAGGTTGGATTTTATTCCAGGCCCTCTAACTTTAAATCCAATGCTCTTTCTACTCTAAATAGAAAACAAGGCCATCCCTCCCTTTCTCACTCGTTGCCATTGGCTACACAAATCAGGTGGCCAGGCAAGAATGTCTTTTTTACATGCATGCCAGGAATAAGTCTACAGATTATTTCAGTACTGACCTAATCTCAAAATATACTTGCCCTGGGTGTGAATATATGATTGGAAAGAATGAGAATATATTCCTCAGCGATATCATTTCCTTATTCATTAAAATACCTGGGACCTCAGTCCCTTCCAAAGAAAGAATTTCAGCCAACTTTGTGGCTATTTTGTTGAAAGGCTGACAGAAGCAGAGAACATTGTATCATCAGAATACAGCCCTTATAGTGGATAATTTTGTTTAGGCCTGAAAAATGGAAGGAGAGAATTAGCAGCAGCTAAAGAAGTTGGGCTCCTGGTGACCTCCCTCGGCCATGCTGTCATTAGGCCCGTTTGGGTTTGTATATCAGTCTTATTCTTTGTTCCATTGTGGTGCTGGGAGGTGGCCTGGGGGTGGTTGTTCTTACCCCGGAGACCAGATGACCCATATTCCCCCCTGGAAGCATGTAGTAGAGTACAATTAAAGTCATTTTTAATTCTTTTTAAATTTACTTTCCAGAGGTGGTATTTCCCTCATAGGCCTAATACTATTAGTTCTGTCTCCCTGTAACGATCAGGGAGGATCACACTTTAAAAGGATCACTATTTTTGTCTGGGTTTTTTTCTTTTTTCATTCCTCTAGAATCGGGCTACTTGAACTTTATCATCATGTGGTTGCAAGGAGGAGAAATAATTAAAACTGGCTCAAAACAAGGTAAGTATACTGAACAGACTGAAGAAAATAATTGTGCAAATATATGGGGTCCCTTGTCCTCAAATATCTGTCCTACAGTTCAGCTCCAGAGCCTGAAATTCCACTGTTATGCATTCATTTATTTTGATCAAAATATCATGTCTCCAGATGTCCCTTGTTGAAAGATGAAAATTCATTTTCTTCTTCAATAAGTAGTAAACTGTATTCATAATAATGAGAAGAGAAAGAGTCTAAGATCCTTGAGGATTGGGGTTTTTTTGTTTGTTTGTATTCTCAGTGTGCACACTGCCTTGCATCTACTACTAATAAATATTTCATGGATTTTAATGTTAAATTGAAAAAGAGGGAAAAAAGGAGGAAGAAGAGTGAGAAGAATGAGTGTGATCAGAAGGCATAGTTTGTGAGCTGCATCAGTGGAGATAGAGTTCCCAATAATGGGATGAAATCACAACTCCTCCAAATGACCAATAGCAATGATAATAGCTAACAGTTTTACAGGATTGTTTTTCCCTAGCAAAATTCTTAATTAGAAAAAGCTTATTTTTAAACCCCTCTTATTGCCTCTTTCTGGGACTCCCTTTTTACCTTTGGTGTCCTCCTCCTCTCTGTTGCAAACACTCTGAGCTTATGAATAGTCCCACCAAAGTGCTAATGGCTTGAAGCCTATTTCATTAGGTTCTTGTGAGGAAAGTGCTCTCAGTATTATGGATTTATCATGTCTAAAGAGTCACATAGATCTAGTATGACTCCTGACTCACTCTAATCCCTATAACAGTCCTTGCTATCTGTATTATAGGATTTAAAATGGAAATTACCTGAGAAATCACCTGGCCCAATATCTTCATTTTACAAGTAAGGAAACAGAGTAAGTATTGGAACCCAAGTACTATGATTTCTAATCTGGCATTCTTCCCTCACTATCACACTGGCTATCACTCTCTAAATCTTAGGAGAAAATCATGAAACTTATTCAGAAATAGTCCATTTCTGGTAAAAAAAAAGTCCTCATTTAGGTAGTTGCTGTATGGCTATAAGAAGGTGTTAGGAATTCTTGATTTAGTGTATTTTTCAAAATCTGTACATTTCTGAAAGTCACCATGTCAGAGCAGGTGGAGTACTTGCCTTTGTCTTAGGACTATATGGATTTGAATCCCCTCTCTGAAGCTTTCTAATTCTATCATCACAGGCAAATCACTTTATATCTCTGAACCTCAGTGTCTTCTGTAAAATGGGGATGATAATACTGGTAGATGGTTTTTACCTCAGAGGGTTGTTGTGGGGCTCAAATGAGAAAAAATATATATAAAGTGTTATATAAAGGTCAGTTATTATTAGTTGGAAGTATCAGTTATCATTATCTAGAGCTCAGTGATGGGTCCTCTTAAGCCAAGAATGAGTTAAGTGGAAGATTTGTGTACTTATAAGAAAATAACTAAGAAGAAACCATTGTACAAGATTGTCTGTCAAGGCCTGGACCCACTGTTTCATCTAGAACCAATGTCTTACTTCCATCTTGGAATGATCGCCTGCATACATACATGCAGGCACGCATATGTGCATGAGTGAATAAAAAAGCATGTATTAAGCACTTAACTACATGCCAAACATTGTACATATTAAAGATCTATTTATAAAATATGTATTTTAATATATAAACATGTTAAATATAAGTATATATGAAATACATATTTATAAAAATGAAGTTAGTCTCTACCCTCAAGGAGTCTATATTTTAACAGAGGTGGAAACCCACACAGAGTATCAACTAAGACTGACTTCTTAGTGGAATTTGAAACTTTGTTGCTTAAACTCTATTAAGACTTTGAGGACACCCTCTCCAAGGGAGTGATGACCAGAGAGGGCTATTTGGTTTCAAAAGTTATAGACAACCCTTATTAGCTTTCTTTTTTCTTTTTTGCTAGGCAATGGGGTTAGGTGACCTGCCCAAGGTCACACAGCTAGTAAGTGTTATGTGTCTGAGGCTGGTTTTGAACTCAGGTCCTCCTGACTCCAGGGTCAGTGCTCTTTCCATTGTGTCACCTAGCTGCCCCCCCCCATTGGCTTTCTTGACCAAGAGGTGGCTGTTCACCTCAACTAAAGAATCACCATGCCCACCCACCTGCTCTTGCAGGGAGCAAAGAAAGCTTTTTTACTTTCCTCTCTTTTTTTCCCCATAGATATTATCACCATCACAACAAACAACCATGGGAACCTGAGTCCTCCCAGGGCCTCAACATTCCCACTTTGTAAACATTGTCTCTACTGTTAGCTTCTAGCTCTTTGCAAAGGGCAAATCAGGTTTCCACTACTCCATCCAGTCAGAGTGATTCTGAAGGTGAAATAAAACGGGAGATGTTTAAAGAGACGAATGTGAATATATAGAGAACTTATTGACCAAAACAGATTGCTTTACTGTTTTATTTTTATTACCACAAAAAGTGCTGCTATGAATAATTTTGTATATATGGGGCTATTCTTTTTGTCTTTGATTTCCTTGGAGTATAAGCTTAGTAGTGTTACTTAAACAGTTAATAATCTTTTCCCTTCATAGTTCCAAATTGTTTTCCAGAAGTTATATAATTCACAATTCTATTCAACATTATGCTAATGTGCCTTTCTTCTAACATCCTCTCCAATATTAACTCTTTCTATTTATTTCTATTCTATATTTATAATTCTGTTTTCATCTTTGCCACTCTGAGGGGTATGAGATGAAACATCATAGTTATTTTTGTGTTTCTCTTTTCATTAGTAATTTAAACTGATCTTTGACATAGTTGTTGATTGTAATTATTTTGAGACCTGTTTGTTCTTAAACACTTATCTATTAGGGAATGGCTCTTGTACTTCTATATTATTGAATTCTCTACATATTATGGGTATCAGCTTCTTATTTGAGATATTTAACATACATGTTTTTCTATTCAACAATTTCTCATATTTTTTTCTGATTATATTTACATTGATTTTGTTCATGTAAACTTCCAAATATTATATAATTGAAATGATCTAATTCATATTTTATAATTCCCACTATTCTTTTTCTACTTAGCCAATATAATTGCTTCCTTTCTCTAATTTTTAAAAAATATGATGTGACCTTTCATGTTCACGTCACATTTCCAATTTATTGTGGCATATGTTGTAATATCTGCCTAACTGCCCTCTAGTTTTCTCAAACTTTTTTTTTTTTTGGCGAGGCAATTGGGGTTAAATGACTTGCCCAAAGTCACACAGCTAGTAAGTGTCAAGTGTTTGGTCTGAGGTGAAGTCAGGTCCTCCTGTCTTCAGGACCAGTGCTGTATCCACTGCGCCACCTAGTTGCCTCCAGATATTTGACAAGTGAAAGATCTTTCCTCAGTTTAGACTTTTGAGTTTATCTAGCACTAGTTTATTTTATTCAGTTCCTTGTGGGTCTTACTTTTCTAGTCTATTCCACTGATCTACATTTCTGTTTTTTAAGCAATAACAAATATTTTAATGATTACAGCTTTATGAACTTGTTTGAGATCTGAGAATACCTTACCTTCTTCATTCCTTTTTTTCATTATTTCCCTGAAGACTCTAGATATTTTGTTCCTCCTATAAATGTTGTTATTTTGTCAAATTTTATAAAGTATTTCCTTAATATGTTGATTGGTAAAGAACTAATTTTATAAATGAATTTAGATAGCATAATAATTATGATAGCTAACATTTATACACAGCTTTAAGTTTTACAAAAGCACTTTACAGATATTATTTTATCTGATCCTCATAACAACCCTGTGATTTGGATACTATTATTATTGTTATTATTCCTATTATAGATAAGTAAATTGAAACTGAGAGTAGTTAAGTGACTTGTCCAAGGTCACACAGCTGTGTCTGAAGTAGGATTTGAATTCAGATATTCCTGATTCCAGGTCACTCTCCCTTATCTTTCATATCACTTAGCTTCTCAAAATATAGGCATTACACTATCAGAGCCCATAAGTATCAGTTTTCTCTACCATTAATTTCTCTTTTTTTCTAGAAAGACCTACTACAAGAGGTCAACAAATTAATTGTTCATCTGAAGGGTAGTGGGTTAGCTAGTGGTTACTCATCTATTTGCATCCTCTTAGACAACTAACTCCTGGATTCTAAAATCTTTCTGGGTACGATATATTGACTCTGAAATGTATACAACATTCTGTACTAGTAAATCATGTGTCTCTCTGTCTTGAGGAAGGAGAATATATCTTGGTAGGCTAAATTTCAGGTATTTTATATTATTCATCATGCCTTAAATGGAATTTTTCTTTCTATTATTTTCCTTCTGATTTTTGTTAGTGCCTTTTAAAAATGCTAATGATTTTGTGGATTTATTTTGCATCTAATTAATTTACTGAAGCTATTAATTTTTTTAAGTAGTTTCTTTGCTAGGCTTTCTAAGTAAGCCATAACATCATGTGAAAATAGGCATAACATTGTAATTTCTTTGCTGATAGTTACATTGTTATTGCTATCATTTATCTTATTACTATTGCTTACACTTTTAGAATTTTATCAAGTAGTTGCAGGAGAGCAGTCATCTTTGCTTTACCTTTGTACTTATTGGTAAAACTTCCAGTGTTCAGATATTAGTTCTTTATTTTAGATATACACTTTCTATTATAATAAAGAAGAACCCAATCAAGCCTATGATTTTTTTGGGGTTGTTGTTAGTGTTTTTAATTAAATTTATTCTCTCAGTGAATAAGCATTTATTTTCTCTCCCTCCCACATTCCAACCTCAATGACAGAAAGGATAGAAAATCATAACACAACATGTGTATTAAATATGTATAATAAAAAATAAACTTCAACATTGGACAAGTCCAAAAATATGTTTCATTCTGCATATTATTCAAAAACCTTTCTGTCAGGAAATGTGTAATATTATTTATCAGTAATCCTCTGGACACACACACACACACACACACGTACACACATGTGGGGGGGCAGGGAAGGGAGATAGTTGAAGGAAGTCAAGGGCCAGGAAGTAGAGGTAAGGAAGAAAAGAATTCCTGGAATAAGTAACAGCCAGTGAAAAATCAAGGAGTTGGGATATGGAGTGCTATGTATGAGAAATAGCGAGGGAGCTGGTGTTGCCAGATCATACATTATGTGGAGGGTAGTAAATTTTAATAAGACTCAGAAGATAGAAAGGAGTGAGCACATGAAATGTTTTAAATGACAGACGATATTATATTTGGGTTTTGAGGTAATAGGGAGAACTTGGAGTTTGCTGAGGAATGGGTAACTTAGTCAGACCTGTGCTTTATGAAGATCACTTTGATAGTTGCATCAGGGTTGGACTGGAATGGGGAGAGACTTGAGTCAGAGATTCCAAACATCAGGCTATTGTGGTAGTCCAGGCATTAGATGATGAGCACTTGCACCAGTATGGTAGCAGTTTCAAAATTAAAAAACAATATGAGATGTTGTGAAGGTAGTACTTGGCAACTGATCAGCTATAGGGATATCCAATATTGGATATTGGATAAAGAAAATGGGGAGTCAATGAGGTTTTGAGCCCAGGCGACTGGGAAATGATGTTGCCCTCAGCAGTAATAGGGACATTCAGAAGAGTGGAGAGTTTTGAGAAAAGATAGTCAGTTCAGTTTTGGATATGCTGAATCTAGGGTGTTAATTGCATGTCTACTTCAAAATTTCTAGCAGGCAATTGGAAATGTGAGACTGGAGCTCAGGAGGGAGTTTAAGCCTGGATAAATAGATCTGAGATAGATCTGCAGAAAGATGTTAATTGAATCTATAGGAGCTGATGCCATGTGAGATAGTATATAGAAAGAAGAGAGACAAGGACA